TGCTGCCGCCCCATAGAGCTGGGTGCCCATGGTCAACCCCAGCAGCTGTGGGATGGGGGAGTGGAGAGGGATCCATGGAGGGTCCAGGCTGGGGAGAGTGAGGACCCACATCCCCCTCTTGTCTCTCCAGCAAGTCAATGGGCTCAGAGGCCAAACACAGATTTCCAATCAAATGTGTGTACTTGGCTCCTGCTCTATTGACACTGAAGCAAGAAGGGCTCAAGGTTAATTCCTTATCAATATTTGATTGTCAGCTCATTCATCACCTGGGGAGGGCAGGAGCTGCCCAAGCTCTCCCTGTTCCTGCCCCCATGGGTTTGGGAGGGTGACTGCAGGATGCTGTGCTCCCCTCTGCCCACCCCACTCCTGCCCAGGAGGCCCACAGTGCTGGGGTGGGCTTGCAGATGTGAGGATGCAGAGACAAGGAGATGGGGGCTCAAGTTCAAAGGCAAGGGGGGATGCTGGGCAGGCAAATCGAGCAGCTGCCTGGTGAGCCTCTTCTTCCTTCGCCCATGCCCCAGGCTGGGTGCACAAGTTGTGCATAGGGTGTGTGTTGGGGGGGTTCAGATAGTGGCTGTAGCCCCCATTTGTGCTATCCTGCTTCCTAACTATCCCCACAAGCTCCCAGCCCCATGTACTGGGGGTTCCTGCCAGCTTTTCCACAGAGAAGGAAAGCAGGGCAGGGTGCCTGCAGAGACCCCAAGGGAACTCTGCACTCCCAGCTCACCAGGGTTTTCAGCAGGGCCTGACAACAAGTCTCATGAATTTGGACCATGGTTGGTATAACCACAATATTGCCCGAATTTGCTTTAAAAATAGTCAGCCCTCTCTTGGTGACAGAGAGGGAACTGGCACCACCCAACCGGATAACACAGGAAAGGCAGTGAAACTATTCCTGCCTCTAGACTTCTGGTTTTAATGTTCAGTTAAAGCTGAGAAATAGGATCTACTAGGACTTGCAGGGCCAGGCAACTCCAGGGCTAGATGCTGTTCCATGTTAACTTACAATCTCTACTTCTTGGCAACTTATTTTGTTCATTCCAGCCTGTTTCCTTGCATCAAGAGGGGACTTTCTGCAGGAGATGCTCTCAGACATGCAGAAGCATCAGGCTATGCTGCACTGCTGGCGTCTTCTCCAGCATCTGCTCTGCTTGCCTCCTACGCTGGCAGTCTCTCCACGCAGGAAGAAGGGGACCTGCTGCCACCTCGTGGAGCGCTGCCCAGCAGAGCTCCCACCCAGCCAGGAAGGCTGCCTCCTGTCCTCATGCATCCCCCCTTCTCTTTCTAGGAAGTGGAGCATGGGGTTGGGTCTACACATCTGTTAAATACCTCCCGGGATGGTGACTCCACCACTTCCCTGGGCAGCCTGGTCCAGTGCTTGACAACCCTTTCTGGGAATAAATTTTCCCCAATATCCAATCTAAACCTCCCCGGGCACACATGTGCCAAGGTGTGGACACAGGTGTCTTTACTCAGGGGCTTGGTTTGCATTACTGGTACTGCAAGACACTCCCCCCTGCTCCAAAACGTTACCCCTGGCTGGGCTGGATCCCAACCTGAGCCATCCAGGTCTCTCCCATTGCTGCAGAGACACCCTCCCACCTCCTATCAGCAGCACAGAGACACCCTCCAGGCCAGGGAGACAGGGACCCTGATCACCAACTAAGTCGCTTTTTTGCTTTTTTAAAACTCCCCTGCCTGGTGAGAGAAGGCAGCAGAGGGGAGCAAGCCAGCAGCCAGCTCCCCTACAGGAATCACCCACTAATAGCTTTGGTTGCTGAGAAAAGGTTCATATGAGCTCTTGCAAAATTAATTGAGCTGGGAATTGCACATTGGCAGCAGCTGACCCCTGGGCACCCTCCTCTCCCACCATCGTGTTCTATCCACACTGCTCCATGCACAAGGACTGAATTGGGTTCACCTGTGCCATGTCCTGCTCCTTAGCCACGAGACAAGCCCAGAGATGTTGCCTTGCTCTTCCAAAGAGCAGACCTGCAATACCACTTCCATAGCTCATCTCAGAGGTTGACTTGGATTTGCCAAAATATCCCAACCTTTGGCTTTCAGTGGTCAGGTTGAAGCTCTTTAGGAACACAGACTGCACCAAACTGGGACAGTTTAACAAGGATTAAGGGTTTGAGACTGTTGGGTTTTTTTAATCCAGCTGTGCTTGGATCAGTTCTTGGTCATGTGCCTTCAGGCTCCATGTTTTTAACCTTTTGTTTCAAAAAAAAAAAAAAAAAAAGCAGCAGGAAAAAAAGAGGGCAGAAAGGGGAGGATAAGCACACATGCTCTACAGGAATGAAGAAGGCAATATATCACACCATACTTTTAACACACTGCTCATCATCATCATCATTAAAGCTTGCTGGGACATGGAAAACGAAGCGCACTCAGACCAGTGCTGATGACTTCCTCTGTAAATCACTGGCTTGCTCAAGAACCCTCCTGCTCTGAAGAGAGGTGTGTACATTAACTGGCCCTGAATTTCAAGTCAGTTTTGCAGCAGTGGAAATGCCTGTGAGCTGGTGCCCCCTTAAAGGGCACCTCTGGCTGCAGAGCTCCAGGCAGCACTCCCTGTCTGCCGCCTGGGAAGCAGGGAAGTGAAGCAGAGCTGAACTGA